AGTGACAGCAATCAAGGCAGGGAAACTAGTAATGACGACTTATTGGGTATATTGTTGGAATCCAACTTCAAAGAAATTCAACAGCATAACAACGCAAATTTCGGAATGAGCATACAGGAGGTCATTGAAGAGTGCAAGCTATTTTACTTTGCTGGCCAGGAGACAACCTCTTCTTTACTTGTATGGACGATGGTGTTGTTGGGTAGGCATCTTAACTGGCAAGAGCGTGCTAGAGAAGAAGTCTTACAAGTCTTTGGCAATGACAAACCAAATTTGGATGGATTGAATCACCTTAAAATCGTAAGTATTTCATTAAACGAACAGAGTTTTGATCAAATTTAGTCAAGTTGATTCAAAGCTGCAATAGATAACGTGTCTTTCAATTTAATAGATTCTCATTTGAACGTATGCTCTGTTCAGAACTCCAATACGGTTGGCAGGGTCACAGGTATCAAACTAGTAAAAGCATTGTTGCTGACCAGATACGATTGTCAAGATAATTGAATTGCCAAAACCATGCCTTTATACTTATTTATTTATCACACTAGGGATCGAGTACACATTGGGTCCGTTCTTTAAGGCATTGTCCAGCTTACAAGATAGACCCGCATTGAGGTTTCAATCAGGTTTACCTTAACCCAACCAAGCTCATCTCATTATCAGGTGTCGACTTTTGTTTTAGTTTAATGAATACTAAAAAAAAACAGTGAAATCTAGATGAATACAAAACATGAAAAGTATCTTTATGCAAAGTTTCTTTTCTTTAGAAAGATCATTTTTCTTTCTTGAGGAAAGGAATCCAAGAGAAAATGGTACAGGTTTTTTTGTCATTATTTGTATTTTGGGTGGCAAATGATGCTATTATTTACATGAGATTCACCTTTTATGTTTGCCTGTCTTTATTTCCCACAATTTACAATTTGCCTGAAAATTGTTGCTCATTTACCTACAACTCTTCCAATGTATTTCACAGGTAACCATGATTTTGTATGAAGTTCTAAGGTTATATCCCCCGATAGTTGGCCTTGGTCGGACTATGTATGAGGACACAAAGGTAGGAGATATATGCCTTCCTGCAGGTGTGCGACTCTCATTACCAGTACTCCTATTGCATCATGACCATGAATTATGGGGTAGCGATGTGGAGGAATTCAAACCAGAGAGATTTGCCGAAGGAGTGTCAAAGGCATCTAAAGGGCAAGTCTCCTTTTTCCCATTCGGTTGGGGACCTCGGATTTGCATCGGACAAAACTTTGCAATGTTAGAAGCGAAAATGGCACTGGCAATGATTCTACAAAACTACTCCTTTGAACTTTCACCATCCTATGCACATGCTCCTCATACTATCCTCACTCTTCAACCTCAACATGGTGCTCACATGATTTTACAAAAGCTCTAGGATTCATATATGACGAATACTACTGTTATGTACTCAGAGAATAATTTTCATATGTCGAATTTCTTGAACTTAATATCTCATCCATTAAACTCCATGAAATTACTTTTTGCCCATGTTAATTTTTTGTTATTGAAAGGGTTTAGAATCTCTAAACTATGATGTGACAGTTGGATTATAAGACATGCTAAAATGGTTGTTGGTTCGGGAATGTGTGAGGTAAGCGCTAGGGCAAATGGACTCCTTGCCTCTGCCGAGCAAATTGAATAAAAGCCCGAGCATAAACTAACTCGGAAGAACATAGTCTGCTCAGTGGAAAACATTCCCTAGCAGGAAAGTGTGTGTCGAGCAAAGCTCAATGAAGCGTGCTCAGAAAAATGTCTTGCGAGGCTAGAATTGAATTAAAGTTTGTTTAGATGATGCCTCAAGAAGAGAGCTCAAATGGCGATTGGTCGATTTCTTTTCCGAAGCTCTTTACTTTCTTATGACAGTTCATTGAGATGATGCTTCAAGGAGAGTTTTTAAATAAAAGTTTGGATGATGCACATTTGATATTTCGATAATCTTGCCAAGAGTGCTAAAATGTGGTACTGAAACTTCAAAATTAATTAACCAAGTGCTGGTTATGTGACATAATAAATTTCTTAAAAGTCTGAGATCATACCACTGGGAATTGGTATAAACTTGGAACACAATAGTATTAAAAGAAAAGAAAAATTACTTTGAAGGATTTGAGTGAATCGAATTTGAAGGAAATACTAAATTTTGGGTAAGACAATTATTGAGATATGCTAAAGCATCAGAGATCCTCTTTCAATTCCACACAGTATTCATTCTTGATTTGGTTTTCGAACTCAATTAAAAATCAGTTGAAGAGTGATTTTAATTGGAAGATTTAGTAGTGATTATATTAAAAACAATTTCAAAAGTCAAAGTTACAAATTACTTGAATAAAAATTAAAATAGTATATCACAAGTATTCAGTGTACCTAGGGTCGACAATGAATCAATATTTAAAAAAAAATTATTTTTATCACAAAAAAAAAATCAATTATTTTTCATGAAAATCTAATTAATCGATCCAAGCATACAAAAATGAGTTCTTTAACTCATTAGTAATCTCAAACATTCGACTTATGTAGCACAACGAATCAAGAGATTTTTCAGAGCAAAAACCATACTAAAACATAACAACCAATAAAAAAATATCATTCATTAAAAAACAAACGGGTCAAAAATAAATATCACGTTTTATTGAAAGAATTACTCATAACTTTAGTTTAGGATTTAGCAATATATAGACATGAAAGCAATAAAATAATGACAAAAAGGACTAGATTAAGGATTCTCAAACTCTCAATTTCGTGTCTCTATCCTATATATACTACAAACAAGAGTTTGACACGAAGGTCAAAACCGCAATAAATTGGGAAATCCAAATCTGTCAATTCTCGTCTACCCAACATTACCCAACTTCTAACTTGATTTTGATGTAGTAAGAGTGAGATTCACAAAAATTTCTAGACATACAACGTTGTAGATCTTAAGGTCTTCTTTCTAGAGCCTTAAGAATCAACATCATCCGATATTGGAGTAAAAAAGTTATGACCAAATTACTGAAATTGTGTCAAAACCTTATATTCTAAAATCCTTTTCTAATCCAATTCAATGTGAGTTTTCTACTAATTTGAACTCCCACATAGCTTAAATTGCTAAGTTAGCTTCAAATATTTTTATTCTCATATTGATCCTTCAATCCTCTAGGTTCCCAGATGAATTGGTTGGGGCTTAAATCTCCTATAAAAGATAAAGTACATTTTTCTCCTAATTGTATCAAATCAACCCTAATGAGATAAAAACATTAAAAGTTTTATAAAATGCAACAACATGCTTAAAAGAAGTTCAATGACACTCATCTAAACCAATAGAGTAATGTGATTTCCAATAGTTATCACATCCCCCGACCAACGTAATGCTAGTTCCTAGCAAAGAAAGCAACTCAAGAAATTGCAACATCAACTCACGATATAAAAATAACTAGCTAAAACTCAAAACACATAAGACTAATACCAGTTTCGTAGGTAATCTCAATTTTATTAAACATATGAAACAAACCTTCAAATCCTTAGGTTATCCCTGGTGTACGAGTTATAGTCTCATGAAGGTTTCTACTGAAGATACATATAAACTTAATTCAACTTACAACTAACTTGAATCATAAAACATACCTTAAACCTAACGTTAAGTTAGTAAAACATCCAATTGTAACCAAATTAAGTCAACACAAAGTCGCATCATAGAACTAAATAATATATAATAGTATTCATATATTGGATCCTCATTTGAAACTAATGTGTGATGTGAAATAACAATGCAAGTCAAGAAATTCATCGAACAATACCACACCGTTACAACTATCAATGTCTAGGTTTGATACAAACCTTACCAAGATATAAACTTGCAAAAGAATTCACTCTAATTATAGTGACTATTCATACTTCATTGTATCATATGTAAACATAATTAATGAAGATCAAAATAATAAGTAAACCACATATATCTTAAATCAAATAACCACTATTTCAATGAAAGGACTTAGCATAATATTATGAAAGGAAATCAATAACATAGATTGCCAAATAAATCTCTTCCTTATTTACACTATTCATGTATCAACCAACATGCTCTTGAGATCAAATAGGTCTTTTCTAATAAGGCCTTGGGATAAGAGTTTCTGATACAAATGATATTTAGAAATTCAAAAAGTTATCCCAAGAGAACATTTTTTTTCTCAATCATATTCTTCAATTGTTTTTCCTTTTCTCATCACTCAGAAGCACACTTCAATAGCACTATCTCATACTCTTCTTCTTCTTTTTCCTCTTCTTTTTCTCTCTTTTTTTCATTAATAGCAATGCTCTTTTTCTTTTTTTTCTTTTTTTTCCTTCATTTCTTTATTTTTCAAAAGCCAACATCACTCGCTTATGATATGTTATTGAATCAATCCATAGGATAATTAAATAGTATCATGATTGCGACGAAGAACAAAATGTTTGGATCAGCCTTCCTGCAGTAACAAGCCAATTGACGAAGAGTGGAACTAAAATGCTGAAACCATGCACAAGGAGCTTGCCTTAGACCAACAATTACCCTATTTAGTTTACAAACATGTGTAGGACTTTCTGCGTTTAAGAAGTTCACCAAGCCTTCTGCCTGTGCCTTTTTATAGAGAAGAAGGCTTAGATACTCCAGTCATTCTTTGTTCTTGCTTTCTGTATCTCTTTGGGAGGAAGTATGCGCCTCTATTCTCCCTCTTTCTTTCAGTCTTTTGGGGATCTTCTAGTGTCTTTAGAGTCTCTCCTCTTGTCTTTCCTACTGTGTTTTGCGATGGTTATGTGGACTCGCAACAGCTTGTGTATCACTCATAGTTAAATCATCACAAACTTTTCCTATATGAGGTTTCTTAGAGGGAAAGTTATACAAATAGGTAGTGTTAAGCATCAAAGTAATAGACACAAATATGTCATATTCTTGACTTATTCATTATATATGGCTTAATAACCAAAATTATTCAAAGAGGCTCAATCAAAATTTTTAAAGATGATACTAATAAGAAAAGAATAAGGTTAAAGCTCAAATTAAATCAACAATGGGCTAAATCATATCTCAAGAGCTATTGACCACATTTAAAAAAATGAATAATTTAGAAATATAACGATAATTAACAACACTATTATTGAATAAAACAAACAATAATAAGATTATTCAATGGAATTCACTAAATGAAATCATATTTCAAAGTAATGTAATAATCCCTCTAAGAATGCTTAGCTCAAAACTCACAAAGGTCAATCAAATCATCTCCACTATGTGTATCAAGTACTAACTCCACTTTTATGGCGTAAGTGACACCATGGGTACTCCTAGCAAACCAGGTGACTCCCTTGTATCTTGTTTTAGTTCTATGCAATGATGCTCTACAAAGAAATCGTTCAATACTTGGCCTTTAACCACCCGCTGTGGTAAGTAATGAAGTAAGAATTCCATCAGGGTGAAGACTCATTTTTTGATTTGACCCCTCATAATTGGCCTAGTTAACATGTACTTCATCAGATTAGTTTGTACAATAATATACACCACTACTAAAATCATATATATTCTTAACTTTCATGATGTAAAGTACAATGTTAAACAAAACTTCTCAATCGGCTTATAACATCTCTCGAAAAGAGTCAAAATTATACTTAAAATAATAAACGGCCTATTCTTTGCCTATATTATTATTCTGAGCTAGCAATCAACCAATGGATTCATGAGCGGATGATAAGTATAAGAGCAGCAGCCTACGCTTTATCGGTGGCATGAGGACTGACGAGTGGCTCAAGTACTCCTTGATTTGGTGGAAGGCTTCATGGTGCTACATTTCCCATCTGAAGTCTTCTATGCCTTTCAAATTTAGGAGTGGTGAGAACGCATGTACCTTCTCTGTGTAGTTAGCGATGAATCGTTGGAGGAAGTTGACTTGATCGATTAGTGTTGTAGCTCTTTCTTGGTCTCCAGAGGCACGACCTCTATGATGGGCCACTTCTTATTCTTGTCTACCTCAATTCCCCTATTGTGCACTAGAAATTCTAAAAAATTCCATATTATGACTCCGAATGCACAATTCAAAGGATTCAACTTTAGTTGATGAAAATGCATCTTTTCAAACACAACCCTCAGATCGCTAACGTGTTTTTCTTTTTCTTTTTTTTTTCCATGTCCTGCATTTTGGTTATAATATCGTCAATGTACTCCTCAACAATCTTGCTAATCATGTCGTGGAAGATGGTATTCATGGCTCTCTGATATGTTGACCATACATTCTTCGGTCTGAATTGTATAACCCTTCATTCAAATGTCTCTATTGATCCAAGATATCGAAAGACAGTTTTGTGTCGATCCTCTTCAATAATGAAGATCCAGTGGTACCCTGCATTGTATTCATAAGCTGATCGGCCAGT